GGGTAGTTTGCTGAGCCCCCACTTCCTAAGTGAGCCTGTCACATTCCTGAACTGTGGACCTGTACTCTAGGAACAACATTTTCTCAGCCCAAACTGGCCATTTGTTTCCCTGTTTTCCCTGTTGCTTTCCCCCAAGGTTTCACATATATGTTGTTTGGTGAGACAATTCAGAGAGAAAGATTCCTCTTGGAAGTGGAGTCAGGTGAAGAGATGTTGAAGCCTATGATTTATGTTTTTTTTTGTTTTTTTTTTAACAATCTTCCCCATAACATTTTTTTAATTCCATGGACCATGGAGTAGCTAGGATACTTGACTTATGGTGGGCCATCATTAGATTCTCCTCTAGTGATTCTGGATGGCAGTGGTTTGATGTCAGTAAGCAGAAGGCTTTCAGGCACCTGGGCTTTCTTGGCACTGGACAGACAGGTGAAATTCTAGAGATGAGGTAAGATAATTGAAGGGAACACTGTGAGTCTAAGAGAAGTGAACAAAGCAAACATTCTCCATCCTCTTATGTTCTTTTCATGACTGAAATGAATCATTTGCTCTCCAAATGGGAGTTTAAGGTCAAGTCCTTTCATTTTGAAGATATAACAGTTAAGACTATTACATCTTTAAAGAAAATTACCCTGGTCACATCGAGTCCTTATGGTTCACAGAAAAATGACTCCTCTTCGTGGTTGCTATTGACAACTGAGTTTTGCTACATAGAGCACCACTCCCTGCTGGGAGATGACACTTCACTGTGCATCTGAAGGTGCAGCATGGGCTTGTAAATGCTGCAACTGTGGTGCTTTCACCCTGGTAAAAGGCAGCTCTCAAAAAAACTTAATCCTTAAAGGAAGGCTCTGAGCTTATATAATTATTCACATCTCTGGAGAAATCAATGCACTGCACTTGGCCCCAGCATGCACCACTCCCACTGCAGGTAGTGTTCTTACTGCTTTCTCTCCCGCCCAATGTTCCAAGGCTTCCAAACTTTAAATGCACTATGAGTCCATGGCTTTTAAACACTCCAGCCTCTTCACTATCCAGTAGTGTTCTATGGGAAACACATCCTTGCTATTCACCTTATTCTTATGTGTGTAATGCCAGCCAAATAGAAGTGTGCATACGCAATGCAAACACTGCATACAACAGTGCAGCCATCTTACCACAGGTCAATAGCGAGCAAAGAAGTCCTTCCCTTCCTATAAATTGAACACAAAACACACAGGAGCATTTGCCCTTCTCTATTTTTGTTCAGGAAAACAGGGCAATGAGATAATCTCTTTGTTCAGTGAACCGTCTCTGTATAAATCCACAAATATAGTTTTCGAAGTCAAATCATACTGTACAGCTTAGGGCAAAATGCAAATTCTTTTTATGCTGCTCCTCACTTCATGGCTCCAGTTTCAATTCTTTTGCAACTTTCTTCTACATTTACTTTCATGTGCAGAGGTATAATATATTTGTATGGCCTCACTTTCATTTTCAGATTTAGACATTATTTCCTGGCTTCGACTGTAAGGGAATAAAGCTTGTGTTCTTTCTACTGTGTATTTCTGGTTAATCGATGTTCAGTGTTTGCATTCTGTAGACTATGCCTATGATCTTCCCAGCTCAGCTGCATGCATACAGTACTGCATTTCTGGCTGGTGTACCTGTTTTCAGAAAGGCCAATGACCAAAGGAAATTGGAATTGTTAGAATTGATTTTTGAATAGTGTTCTTTGTGCTGGTCAACAGTGTATGTTAAACCATCTCCAAACTGCCTCTACTCCCCTGAACTGGATCATCAGGATCCTTCTGACCAAAAGGATCTCTCTGTTCCTCAGGATCTCTCTGCTGGCTTCTCTCTCTGCTGTTTTCTTTCTCGGGGCCTCCTATTGGAGTCCTAGATGCTTTGGATTGGCTGCTGCCTTGGCTTTCTGCACAGTAGCCATCTCAGTGCCTTTTCTTCATCTACCTGAAGGGGTTCCCTTTCTCTATTTCCTGTGGTGGAGTCCCTCCCACCTCTTTTATTTGTGTTTTTGTTTAGGGAGACAATGACATGCCTCCCTTACTATAGAGGCCACACATCTGCAGGAAAGAACCATTTGGCTACACACACTAGAGATACCCAGAGGTCCAATGTCTCCTGTGACTGCCTGTTGACCAACCTTTCTTTCTCAACCATGTCTTCATATCCCTGTTATCTGAAGCATGGGCTGTTTCAAGTTCCTGAGCCTTTCTGAGGTGTCTATCTTCAAATCCTCAGAAATCTTGATAGAAAGGAAGAAGCAGGAACCTCCCCTGTGAATTACTCAGTACTGATTAGGCCATGCAATGGGAACAAACCACTCCTACCCCCATTCCCCAGTTTCTGTGGCCTCAACTCAGGTTGCCTCCAGGTCTCACTGGGGTCACCAGGGAATCCTTGCTGTGCTCAGGGTCACACCACTCTTACCATCTGGCTTCTGGTTTGTTGCACTTAAAGCAAGTAGGGTGTTTTCTGCTGCTCCTGCCCGGAAGTAATACACCTACAAATGCATATGTCACTGGCCTTGCCGCCTAGGACTTCAGGGATGAGGACATGCAAGCCTCTCTAACTTGAAAGGGAAATGGAAATATGGCCCAGCATGAAAATGTCCAAAATTCAACAGCAGATTATTATCCGCATCTACTGTTTCTGTTTTTTTTTTATTGCCTTACTATCATTTTAATGAAGTTATAGGAAAGTAGCCTACTGTTTCTGTTTTTTTTTTTATTGCCTTACTATCATTTTAATGAAGTTATAGGAAAGTAGAAATGAGCAGCTATCAGTCTACACTGCCATTCAGGGTAGCTCAAATCTTCTGTCATGCACTGTGCTGGCTGATGTCAAAACAATTGTCCCTAATGACTGTGCTGCCTGCAGAGAAGTCTGTGACTGGGAACTTTTCAGAACACATCATTCACTATCAGTATTTTTCAAGGAGGGAGTTGGAAGGAAGTTCTCAAACATACCTAGAAGTTAGAAAGTCCTTACTGGACCAAAAGCACATGTCCTTTTTCAGATCTTCAGAAAACAATTGTTTTCACCTGGTGCTGAGCAGCTATCATTTCAGTAAGGAGAATGGGTTCTCTAGGATAATCAATCCTCAATTCTTATTCTGTCTACTGTACCAGCAAACACATGCCTGCTTGCTTTACATAAATATACAATTTTGGGGTTACAGGGGACTGAACAGGTCTGTCAAAAGCACTGTTAGCAATTACCTCTGTCAATTGGTAATATGGCTGTTCTTACCCTCCACCTGTTCCTTGGCACTTTCTGATTTTGCCATTTTTTTTTTTTTTTAAACACAGCGTGGCTTTTGGAATAAGAATTTCAGGGCCCTCTGTCTCTGCATAACCACAGTGGTATGTGGGTGTGGGTGTGTTAGGGAGGTGGGAGTGCTGTGGGATGGGGGGTTTCCATTAAAGAGGCCACAGTGGCCATCTGTATCTTTAAGATATGGCTTCGTGACAATGGTTCTCTAACTGTGGCCCAGGGTCAACAGCACAAACTCGGACCTTATTAGTTGGGATAACACTGAACAACTTTGCCATCCTAAATAAAAATGTTGAGGATTTTGATGGAAGCATTAATCTAAAGCATCAGTCTAGGCAAAGAACCCCTTCACTTGTCTTGACTCTCTGATGCCTGATGTATCAAGACAGGGCTTGATACAGCCTATATGCATTGCCATCCTTTTAGTTGAACTGCTGATTGATGGGTGGGGGGTGGGGGTGGGGAATCCCCAGGTGCCCGTACACACCTGAGAACAGACTGGTCTCTGGTTAGAACTATCCTCATCCCACCTGTGCTAGGCCACTGGTTCACCCCATTTCCACACACCTTGTTCTTTTACTCCTTCCTCTCAGGAACCCTTGCAGATCTTGTACTTCCAGGACGGCGACTTCTGCAAACATCCTCTCCAAGCAAGTCTCGTCTTACTCAATGCAGACTTGATACAAATTCTGGGACTGCACTGAGGAAGTTCAGACTTTCTCAATGAGCACCAAGAGGGACACGTGGGGGGTGGGCACTGACCCAAGAATGTTAACTCTCAACAAGTCCTCGTGTGGGTGTGGGTGTGGGTGTGTTAGGGAGGTGGGGGTGCTGTGGGATAGGGGGGTTTCCATTAAAGAGGCCACAGTGGCCATCCATATCTTTAAGATATGGCTTCGTGACAATGGTTCTCTAACTGTGGCCCAGGGTCAACAGCACAAACTCGGACCTTATTAGTTGGGATAACACTGAACAACTTTGCCATCCTAAATAAAAATGTTGAGGATTTTGATGGAAGCATTAATCTAAAGCATCAGTCTAGGCAAAGAACCCCTTCACTTGTCTTGACTCTCTGATGCCTGATGTATCAAGACAGGGCTTGATACAGCCTATATGCATTGCCATCCTTTTAGTTGAACTGCTGATTGATGGGTGGGGGGTGGGGGTGGGGAATCCCCAGGTGCCCGTACACACCTGAGAACAGACTGGTCTCTGGTTAGAACTATCCTCATCCCACCTGTGCTAGGCCACTGGTTCACCCCATTTCCACACACCTTGTTCTTTTACTCCTTCCTCTCAGGAACCCTTGCAGATCTTGTACTTCCAGGACGGCGACTTCTGCAAACATCCTCTCCAAGCAAGTCTCGTCTTACTCAATGCAGACTTGATACAAATTCTGGGACTGCACTGAGGAAGTTCAGACTTTCTCAATGAGCACCAAGAGGGACACGTGGGGGGTGGGCACTGACCCAAGAATGTTAACTCTCAACAAGTCCTCCACATACCATTTGGTAGGCATAGGGATGCCTTTTGGGTCTGATAAGTGGGGTCCACTCTTAACACCCTTCTGCTGGCGCCACAGTGGGTTCAACTACCGTGGGGAGGTGCATAGTGCCCTTACAGACCATTTACCTACAAAGTCATTTCTCAGACTTGTAAGGCCACAGAAGTTAGTCTCCCCTCCCCAGGGCCTAGAGTCCAGGCAGCCTGAACCCGTACATACTTACATCTCCGTCCATGGGCCTCTGGTCGTCACAATCCCTCGTGGGGCTAATGTCCTGGCGCATGACCCAGATGGGCTCTTTGGGTTCGTCGGGGGTGTAAGGCGAACGGATGGTCCGGGTTTTCACTTCTTCGATGGCCTCCTTGATGTCCTTGATGGCCAGCGAGATGGCGTCTCTCTTCTCCTTACTGTACCGCTGCCCAGCCTCACCGCCACCCGTTGCTGGTCCCATGACCCGTTGCTGGCCGGCAGGTGGAGGCAGCCCCGGGCCCGCGGGGTGGGTTCGTCGGGGGTGTAAGGCGAACGGATGGTCCGGGTTTTCACTTCTTCGATGGCCTCCTTGATGTCCTTGATGGCCAGCGAGATGGCGTCTCTCTTCTCCTTACTGTACCGCTGCCCAGCCTCACCGCCACCCGTTGCTGGTCCCATGACCCGTTCCTGGCCGGCAGGTGCTGGCAGCCCGGGGCTGTCGGGGTGTCCTCCTCCTGGGGTCGGGGCACGCTCCAGGTCCTGCTCGGCCTCGGGCATGTCTTCCGCCGCCTTGTCGAGGCTCTGCGAACTCATGCTCTGCTTGACTTCGGCCACGATCTGGTCGATGTCCTCTTCCTGCTCGTAACTGTCCATGCGCGGGTAGGGCGCGAACTCGGCCTCTTTC